GTGTCCATCCTCTTGTTGGGAAGCCTTCCTTTTTTTGTTGACTTTTTAGTTTGAGTAAAGCCATATAAACCAGTGATGTTTCCTGGGTCTAGTTTAGGGTTAGTTAGGCTGAGGCACCATCCTCAGCTAGGGTTTCAGGGGAGCTGAACCTGGGGCTTAGAACTTCTTCTACGGGACTGTGGAAGTCATCCCAAGGGTGGTAGGTTGTTATCTGACCAGTCTGGAGTGGGCTGAAACGAAGGCGTAAAACCTTTCAGAACCTGGTGCATCTGCCATCTCCATCATCACCAACAGCTGTTGATTAGACCAGACCTCACCTGGTTCAAACCTACAGGACTTGCTCCTTCCATGCCACTGCTCCTATGGGGTCATCTGTCTGTGGGTGGGTGATGCCGAGAGACTCTATAATGAGTTCAGGGCAAGTACCATCTCTTCCCTTCACATCCGTTGGTATCATTATCTAAGGGGTCTGGTCACACGGTGACAGAAAGGTGGGAGTACAAAGAAGCTGAGAGAAAGGAATTTCCCGTTCCTTGACAGTGACCTGAATGCCCAAACTCAGAGGTGACCAGGACCCAGGCCTCTGAGGGTGGTTTTCATGGTGTCAGCTCAGAGAAGTTGACCATGTGCAGCTAGTGGTTATAGCATGGGGAACGTCATTGGCTTTTGGTCTAGGAAAATGTGATTGAGAGGCTTCTTTTTAGGACGATGACATCAACTCCCGAATGACAAGTCACAGAAAGGGACAAAGGTGGAAGGTCAGTCCCAGCAAAGCGCAGCTCCTCTGGCCTACTACTGAGTATACTCAGCTTCCGTTGACGGCCCAGACGCTCTGGAACACTCTCTCTCACTGGAGTCTTCCTGAAAGTCCTTAGTTCTTCACAGCCTCCCTCCAGACCACAGTCCTCTAACCACACCCTCAAGCAAAGGGGAAGGCAAGTGAGCTAGAGACTGGGGACTCACAGCGCTTCCTTTGAAACCAGTGCCAGCCACAAGCAACCAACAGTCGTTGGCCCTGGACTTGTCCTCCCAAGAAGGCTGCCTCGACTCCCAAGCACCTCCCGCCCTACCAGGCAAGCGGTACAAACCAAAGTGATGAGGCAATCTGTGCTTGGATGTGGGCAAAAGTAGTTAATTCTCAACGACGACGTCGGCAAACGGCTATAAATATTTATACTGGGAAATTTCATTATTTAAAAATTCTGCTCTAAATTTCCAGCCTAACTCCATGAAGAATACCTGCTGAACAGGTTGCAAATTAAGAACAATTATTTTTCTCTTCTGCATTTGAATATAACTTACAGCTAAAGTCATTTAAAGGGGTTAACATCAACCTTAATTAAATATTAAAGTGCGTCTGTACCTGCAGCTATTGTTGGCCCTTCGAATAAGATATAACCTATTTTTGACAAGTTTTCATCTTTCTCTGTGGAAGACGCTACATGAAACCAAATCAGTGGCAAAGAGGAGAGTAATGAATAATCTATTTCATATTCCAACAGTACCCAGAGCTCCGAGTGGAAAAATATTCAGTCAGATGATGGCAAGAGGCTGCCAGGGTACCACATGACACAGCTAATGTTTAAATAATAATAATAATAATAAAAAAAAAGCGATAAACAAATCATTAGCCCTTAACAGTTGTTTAATGCAATTTGTTAATGAACGTAATGGTGGGGACTAATAATGAAAGAAAATAAAAACGTCTAAACAGGCGCCAAGTTGCTGGCGATGCGCAATTATTTCCTTGTCAAGTTTTTATGATTTAATGAGTTCCTCTGGGACTGACGCCTGTCAGTCAGCCGTGACTTTTTGACACCATTACAACTTCAAATACAGCAGCAGGCAGGCTGTTTTCCTCGGATTTGAAATACTGAAATGATCTGACAGTTTTAAAGAAAAGATGTGCAAAAAAAAAAGAAAGAAAGGAAAAAAAGAAGAGAGAGAGAAAGAGAGAGGGAGAGAAAGGCAGTTGCTTTTGCACCCCCCTCTCCCCCCGCTTCGATGGGGCAGATAATCTCTGGATGCTGTTTGGTAATGAAAACCCAATCACTGGGGTCATTATCTGATGAGGTTTGGGGAACAGGCAGGCTTTCTTCCCCCACTTTATTTCTTTACTTAATGATAAGCCTCAATGGGCTTGCCCCGCATGGGACGACCAGAGCCGCACAATTTTGTTCACCATTAATTTCAGCCTTTGAAGCTCAGGGCTCAGAAGCAGTGGCAAAGCAAACCCCCCACCAAGCTGGTTCCAAAATAAGTTTGCTTGCTTTTTAATGATTTCTTCAATCCAGCCTGTCTTAAACAGAATAGCAAATGGCCTCCCGGCCCAGGACCGGTGGCTGACGTCAGACCCACTGCATCTGTAAGCCTTCGCCTTCAACGTGGAGCATTTAAAACTCTTTACAACTTAAGAGTCTTTAATTAAATTGCTTTTGATTCTGGAGCAGGGTAGCATCCGCTTTATTTATTCTGTCTGGGAAACTGTTTAGGCAGCATGAATATTATATGCCATCTTCATCTTCCCCACCCTGACATCAAACACCATTTCTAACAAAGGCTCCCTACTTCACAAATCACATATCAATTGAAGTCTATTTATTAAGAACCGAAAACCCATGGCATTTGTGAGCTTCCTTCCTTCCCCAGTGGGGTCGGGAAGGAGAACAAGTACTTGGTCTTCCTTGACGTCTCTCCTCCAGCATCCAGGAGGGTCCGGGGAGATGTTCAGGGGACCTACCAACTCGCTTCCTCTCAAAGCCCTTCCTACCCTGGTCTGTGAGGTGGTCGTTTTGCAAGTGGGTGTGATGGAGTTGTTAGGCCCAGGGTTACTTGCTCAGCTTCTTCTCACTTTCAAGATGTCCTTGGACAGAAGTTGAATTGGAGCAAAATCACAGGCAAGAGCTGCTAAAGAGAGAGAACTGGAAAGAAAGAAAGAAAGAAAGAAAAAGCCACTGAACAGTGAACACTATACTCGCTTTCATCTGATCCACTTCCACGGGAGCCTAAGGTTTAGTGTAAAGTGGAGGAGCCAGCGGATTTAGATTAGAGGACCAACCTTGCTTGCTGGGTGGCCTTGGGAAGCATCTGCTGAGTAGAGAAAGGTATGGAGGCACCAGGAGTCAGAGTAGGTAGCTATACAACAGACTCGAAGGAAGTCGCCAACGGGGTTGACATAATACTTCACAACAATCAGAACTTCAGAATGAGAAGCAGGTTTTCGTTTGTTTGCGTTTTAATGATTTCGCCAACGATTTTAGCATGTACAGAATTCCATTATCAGAATAAAAGGTCCTTGCAGAGAGAGATGCACCCTTTCCATTGATGGAAAAGCTGGCCCAGCCTTCTACTCCTCGGCTGTCCCACTTCCCTCTGTCCAAATCCCACTCCAACCTTCCAAATCAGCCCGCTTTATTGACACAATACTAAATGATTCATCGGAACACATGCAGGCCCTGGCCTGTTGTGATAGGCCCGAGTTCTCTGGTGGCTTTTGCCATTCTGCCTTTCCTTGCTAAACCATCACGGTTCTCTTCTGAGTTGGGAAAAACAAACAGACAAACGCAGCAGCATCTGGGCAACTGTGCTCCACGGGCACAGGTGGTTAGCATTGTTTATGAAGAAGACAGCTTTGCTTTTTAAGCACCCCAAACTTCCAATTAGATTCAAAAGATACTACGGGGCCTGGAGCTGCCTAAGAAATGTCAAGGAAAACACTCTTTTTTTGTTTTACAACTTGGGGAGAGGCGTCCTCCGCGCAGGCAACTTTAAGCTTGATTACAAATGAACTTATTTTGAATGCAATTCCTGGTTATTCACAGACAAAGAAATTAAAGAAAATCATGGAGGATGTTAGAGGTTTGAATACATATTGAATTCAGTAAGCGTTTGCTAACATTTGTTAGTTTAAAAGGTAAAAAAAACCCCAAAACCCAAGTCATCCTTCTTCTTCTTCTTCTTTTAAACACTCAGCATTCCCTTAATCTTTTAAAGGAGGTTCGTGAACATTTTCCATACAGTTTATTTCCAGTGGCTCATCCTATAGGATTCTACTCTATTTATAATCACATTTGAAATCTCATACTGACAGAGTCATGTTCGTGGTCTTCCTGAAATATTCATGTTCTCTTTACATACTGGAATAGATGTGGGAAGAACCTTGTCAGACCTTTTGCATGTATAAGGGCTGCTTGTGGCAGAGCAAATATTAAAACTGAAAGGGTACAGAGATGCTTACACAGGTCAGTGAAGACGAGGTCACAATTAAATACCGGGCCAGGGCTCACTTTGCCAGCAAATTCTGAGGAGTGGGGGATTTTTGGAAGGCAAGGGACTCGTTCTTGTAGTTGGTAATCAAAGTTTTGAAAAGTGGACATTAGACAGAGTCAGCAGAAATATTCTTGGGTCAAAAATAAAAATAGGACACAGTAGAAAACAGGGAGAATGAAAAGTTGATTTCTGGCACCAATGACATGAAACACCCATTTTTGGAGTGAAACCCCTAGAGCAGGTGGGTTCTATCCACACTGCCTGGGTTGGAAGTTGTCCCACTTGCTGGAACAATTCACTGATTTTCTCTGCACTTGTATCCTGGGGTATCACAGAAGGGCAAGAGCTGTGTGATAATCAGCCAGCCATAGAGCACCCCCATTAGAGGGTCCTCGACCGATGCCACCCTCTCCCAAACCATGACCCCGACATGTCCACAGGGTGAGGAAGGCCTGTGGTGAGATGATGAATGATCAAAAGGCAAAATAAACATTCACCTTTCCCTCCCTCTACAGAACAAACCTGGGTGTCGAGAATACTAGAAGAGGAAATCAGCCCACATGCAAACAGGGACGGAAAATCTTTATACTGTTTGTGCGTGGCCTGCGCACACACAGTGGCGAGGGAGGGAAGGGCCACGTGACCTGTCAGCAGAATGATTCATGTGACCGTTTTGTCTTAATTACTCAGAACAAGCCGTCATTGCTGCTCATCAAGGGCCAGCAGCTCCATCAGTGTCGTCTGACAGAGAAAGTGACCGCCATTAGGATGGTGATGACCACGATGACCACCAGGATGACCACCAGGATGCGGTTCTGGATGATTCTACGAGAGAGCAAAGGGAAAGGGGAAAATCACACGTGTGCTGAAGACCATCCAAGACTAAGATGGCTCATTAGACCAAGGTGGCGCGGTGGGAGTGGGGGCCCGCCGGGCGTGTGTCAGAGTGGGCACAGGCAGCCCTCTGGTTCTCCAAAGAATCTTGAGGAAAGGAGCGAATGACCCCACAGTGACCATCACATTCACTCAGACCCTTCCTAGACTCCCACATATCATGTCATATTGTAAGTGATCGAGGACCCTATGTGAGCTTCTCTTTTAAATAAAAAATGTGAAACAAGGCTCTTTTCTTTTCTTTTCTTTTTCTTGGAGTGATTCCTGTTCAAGTGAGAGACTCCAAGGAATCACATGGAAGGTACTTACCTGTACAAGAAAAAAACCAAACCAAACCAGGAATAAGTCAAAGCGAGACTTAAGAAGAAAAGGACTGGATTGAGAAACAAATGTCAAACTTGCTGTTTAGGCTGCAAACCCATCATCTGTCACTGTTGGCTCCCGCGCTAACACCAGGAGGAAACATCTCGTTTGCTCCATGGCAGAAAAGATGGAAATGAGGAATAATACACAGTACCCTGGGTTGTGCTTTCATCTGGGGTTCCTAACCCCCTGGGTTCTGGCTCTGCTGAAAGCTGATGGGGTCCTGAGAACTCAGACAAGAAGCAGAACGGAGACGGACCTCCAGGATGCCTGCAGAGACTTTCTCCTGAAGCTGTTTCATAAATTGTTATTACTTCATTCTGAGAAAAGAGGCTGAACATCATACTGCTTTGTTGAGACTTTCAAAGTGAACCCAGGTCAAACAGCCTCACCCACACTCACTGCTCTCAAAGAACCACATGAAAATGGAGTAGCTGGCAGCCAAACCAGGATTCCTCCAGCTAAAACCCCATCTAACCACCCTCCAAATACCAACAGGGAAATGACCTGCTACCTTACTAGAGACACACAACACTGGACTGGGATCTTCCAGAAACACGAAGGGCAAGGTGGGATTCCCAGTTTGACAAAGACTCTACCACCCTACTTTGTAATTTGTGTTTTTAATTATTATTTTAAAAATTATATTGCGGTGGTTCCATATGATAAGCACTGGATTGTGAACCACAAGGTCTGAGGTTCAAGTCCACCAGCTGTTCCACAGGAGAAAGATGCTTTCTGCTCCTGTGAAGATGAAAAGCCTCAGAAACACTATTCAGGGATGGATGAGGTGGAACTGACTCCACGGCATTAACAACAGAAACAACGTATATGTGGGAGTGCAGTGGCTCTGTAGGATGAGGTGTGGACTGTGAACCACAAGGTCAGCAGTTCAAGTTCATCAGCCATTTCTCAGGAGAAAGATGAGGCTTTGTGCTCCTGTAAAGGTTTTGTTGTTAAGTGCTGTTGAGTCGGTTCTGACTCATAGTGACTCTGTAGAGGGTTCCCGAGGAACGGCCTGGCAAGCTTGAACAGTTGATTTTGTAGTTCAAAGCGACCTTGAGGTCAAGTGCTTATCCTACGGTGCTACACTAAGACTCCTGAAAAGTTATACAATCTCGGAAATCCAATACAGGGTTGTTATGAGTTGGAACAGACTCCAAGGCACTTAACAAAACAATAACCATCAGTATGTATGCCCAAACATTTTCTGTTTTCCTATTTGTGTGTGTACAATTCAATGTCATCAGTTGCATTCACCACACTGTACAATCCTCACCACTATCTGTTTCCAAATTTTTTATAAAATTTAATGAAAAGGTGATGAAACTTTCCCCCTCTCACCTGCCCCAGGTAGCTGCTAGCAAACTCTGGGCTCTGCTCATTTGAGTATGCTAGATGTTTCATGTAAGTGGGATCAAACAATATTTGCCTTTTGTGTCTGGCTTATTTCACTCAGTCTAATGTTTCATATTATCAGGAGAGACAGTTCCTAGAGAAGACTATCATGTTTGTTAAAGGAGAAGGTTGGGGAACAAGAGGAAGACCCCCAACAAGATGGATTAGCACCGCGACGGCAGCTATGGGCTCAGGCTTAGCAATGACTGTGAGGTTGGCCCAGGACCAGGCAGTGTTTCATTCTGTTGTGCATAGGGTCAGTACTGACTCCATGGCAGCTGACAACAACAACAAATGGTACTGAGGTTCATCCATGTCATAGTATGTGTCAGAATTTCATTTTTCTTCTGTTGTTGTTGTAAAGTGCTGTTGAGTTGGTTCAGACTCATAGTGACCTTAGGATTTCCAAGGAGCGGCTGGTAATTTGAACTACCAACTTTGTGGTTCAAACCAACCTTGCGGTCCTGTGTGGTCCAGTGCTTTATCCCACAGCACCACACCAGGACTCATTTCTCTTTAGGGCTGAATAATATTGCATTGTATTTACATGTCATTCATCTGTAGACAGATCCGTGAACTGCTTCCATCTTTTGGCTAGGGAAACGAGCTGCAATGGACACAGGTGTGTACAACCATCTGTCTGAGTCTCTGCTTTCAAGTTTTTGGATCTATCCCCTAGGAATGGAATTCCTGGCTATTTCGTATCTTCACAAATAAATCCCAGCAAGGTCTCAGCACCTCGTCTAGCTCCCGTATGAGTTCAGTCATTGGAAGGATGATGGCATCAGATTGTAGTTTTACTCAAGTTCGGCCACAGCTTTGGCTCTCTCTGGCCCCTGACCACCTCCCCCCCTCC